GATATCTTTATATGATGAAACTCAGAAGCTGCTCCAAGCGATTTACAGCGTTTTCTGTTAGACAAATCCCACATCTGTGCTGACCACTTGCCTCCCAGATCTCGGCAGATGGCGATTTCAAAAAGAGAAGTTACCCTGATTTTCAGGGACTCCTGTCTCTTAAACTGTAATTAAGGGTTTGGGTCGGCTTTTTTACACCCCCCAAAAATGTGCACAGTCTGATTTAACAACATTTCTACCTCCTGTCTATGATTTCTTGCACAAACTCTGCCTACAAAACTAATACACACTGTCTTATCAGCAGAGACTCCCACCGTGGGTGAACTTTTTAAGCAGAGGAAAAGAAAATGCCCTTTTCTTGGGAAGGTGGTGGGAAACAGAGAACATATTTTTTTAAAACATCTAGAACCCCTCTAGGACCAAGAAGCCATCCTGAACCAACCAGAGTTCCTGACCCAACAAGTGACCCTGAGTTAGACCACGGTCCTGACCCAAGTGAGCTAAACCATGATCCCACCCCAGCAGCAGTAAGCGGCCTGGAACCCCATCTATTGGGTTGGCCAGAAAAGTAAACACGTTTTATTCTGGGTAAATGAAAGGTGAATTTTTCATGGGAAACAAGATCTGTATTAAACAAGGTATTCCCCGTTTTGCTCCATTACCTTTTGCCATCTGTCAGACGACTTCATGATCCCACGCTCAAAAAAGTTCTTATCTTTTTCAGAAAAGAACAGTTCCAAGAATGATCTGACATCCTCATCGGCAGTGAAGGTTCTGCCATTCAGGGCATTTTGTAAAGAACAAAACAAATGGAAGTCTGATGGTGCCAGGTCTGGCAAATATCTGAAAAGATGGAAATAAGCACACTTCCTAAAATACATATTCTCTTTCCACCTAAGTGCCCATTTCCACCAAATACTGAAAAATGTAATAGTCTTACAATTAATACCATGTATGCTGTAAATAGAAGATGAAAGCCACTTATATGTGTCTGTAATATAATTACAGTGTTGATCTGTAGCCACTTTAAGAGGCAGCACCTCAAAAATCACCTTCATAGGAAGCCCAGAATCGCGGCATGCACAGGGGGACCATGGATGTGTTCTCCAGAACAACAGCTAAGGCCAGCAATTCTTTCAAACCTCAAGAAAGCCACACACACGAAAGAGAAAATGGTTTCTTTTAAAGGTGTACTTTCAGACTTGGGAAAACATCAAGTATTCTTGCAAGGTCAGACTTCTTTTTTTCCATACAGCTTATGTAAAAACCACACTGAAGGGATGAATTTTAGCAGTTTCACTTGTTACAGTTACACAGATGGAATCCTATCCCTCTAGAGACACCAGCCAGTGCCCAATCTAAAACCCAAATATTCCTAAATATTTAATTCCTTGTCAGAGCTTGTCTGAGAGCCCTGGGGACTCAATTAATTTGCATGATAGCATTTCAGCAACTACTAGATTTGCATCCTGACATTTAAAGGCTCCTGTCCATATACTCCTCAGGCCTCTGAACGAATCATCCCGTTCTCTTATTCCTAAATGGAAACATGTTTCTACTTGATGTATCCCTTGTGTAGGATTAAAGCTCCAAGGACCGACAACCAAATAGCACCAAACGCTGTTACAAAGTGACTTTTGTGGAGAAACAGCGACATCCAGTGGCCATGAACCGTGACTTCCTGCTGCTTAGGAAAACGGGAACTTCTTCAAATACGGCAGAGAGGAGCTGCAAGCGTACACTTGCGAGAATTACAGCCCCTCACTTACTCGTCGTATCTAAATAGTTCACAGGAACGGGTGTGATTTAAACACTCAAGTTTAGGCTGGTTTTGATGATGCAGCGGTTTCATAAATATGAAATGGTGCAGCCAAGGATCTCGGCATTGCTGCTCAGCAATGCCTCTGAACTGCAGACAAGACTGCAGAAACACGCAGGCATTCCCAGTGTGTCTGCCTTAGCCCTCACTTTCCAAATACGATGATGTTTTGGGGGAGCTGTGAACAGAGCAAAACACTGGTCGTACTCAAAACCCAGCATAACGGGGTTACCTCATTTGTATTCTTAAACCAGATACAATTCTTTTTTGTTTCAAAGCACAGCAGACAAAAACCTCGGAAATCTTGGAATTCATCTTTTTAAAGAGAGAACAGACTGGAAACTAACTGAAGCTACAAGGAAAAACAAAAGCAACAGAAAGGCCAGTCTCAAGGCTCAGACTGCAGGAGGATTACGAGATGTTATCAGTCGTCTACATGGGAGCATTAGCATTGCTCCATTTTAATAGCACACAGATTCCAGCCAAAGCCTATTAAATTCTTAATTTAGTTCTGAATAGTTGGCTTTAAGGAGATTCAATTAAAATACCACCACGCTATAAGAAAAACAGATGTTGTATCTTAACATCACCAGCATCTATATAGCCTGATGCCACTTTTTTGTCTTTTGCCCAGAACTTCTCCAGTGTTAACAACGTGTGTTATGCAAATTCACATTTAAAATTCCTTGTCATTGATACACATTTCCCTAATTGACAACATTTGAGATAAATCACAAAGATTTTTCTTTATTAATGAAGAAATCCCTTGCAGCCATCTATTCCAGCTAGGGACTGCCATCCCTCCATGAGCTGGGGGAGCAGAAGACTCCGTAACATAGCTCCTACAAGAGGAGCAGGAATCCGGCACAAACGTCCCCACACTGTGTCCCTGTGTCCTCGCAGTGACCCACCCCAGCTCTGCACCTCACACTGCAGCACCTGGGGATTTCGCTCCTTGCACTTTGGCTTTAAGTACGTGTTGTTCCGTGCCACTTCAGCCAGGGGCAGGGCTTCAGCACAAGCCTCACCCAAGAAAACCTTCCTACAGGGCTGGGAAGGAAGATGCATGGACACATTTGGTTTCACATCATCAGCTCAGGCTGCCTAAACTAGGCCTGAGGTGCTCCCCATCACAACATGCCTGAAAATCCCTCTTCCCACTGTTACCTCCTGTGCAACACCAGGCTGAAGCAGGCCCCATGCACAGCTCTGCTTACAGCCCACCCAAAGGGACACCAGGAGGACTGGCAGAGGCCATGGTTTAGCACAGGTTTGGCTCAGGTGGAATAAAGCCAGTGTAGTGCCCTGAGTGGGTCTGCACATCACCCTCCTGGGGTCCCCGTTCTTGCAAACTCCGGAGATAGCTCTGCACAGAGCCAGCTGCACCCGACGGCCTAGCAACGTGGGCACCACACCACACTGCAGCAATGCTGCTCATTCAGCAACTGACTCTGGAGAAAGGGTATCGGTCATTTACAGGCCTGGATCTAAAATGAACTGCCCCAAGAGCATGCGTTATCTGACCAGTTCGTGTCTGTACCTGCTACCATGCAGCAGAGCTTAATTATTAAAAGAGCTAAAGAAAGGGCATCTATTATGAGCCAGGGCCTCACCTCCCCTGGGCTGTAAGTTACTCAGGAGTTTATACACCCCTGAGCACACAGCAGACTGTGACACCCACTCCTGAGTGACAGAACCAGAGGAGGGTTGGGGCTGGAAGGGACCCCTGGAGGTCACCCAGCTCCAGGGCCAGCTGGAGCCAGGTGACCACAGCCACATCCAGATGGCTTTGAGTGTCACCAAGGAGACCCCACAGCCTCACCGGGCAATTGCCTAGGGGGCTAAACTGGAAAAAGCAAAACCGGACTACATGGCTAAAGTACAAAAAGCATAAAATCAAGGAAAGGAAAAACCAGCAATTGCAGAAAAACTCAAGTAATTGAAGGGAACTCTTAGGGTAACAACAGCAAGTTTTTCAGAGAACTTTAGGTTTCTGCTAGCGATGTATAGCAGACAGGGAGGCAAGCCCTGCTGCTGAAAAAATGAACCTATTGTGATTGTAACCATCAAAACCACAATGAAGTTACAATGTGCAGCTTTCCATGAAAAGCAGTGCAGCATTCTGGCCATGACTACAGGCCAATCCATGCTAAGAATGCACTGCTAATTAATACAAGTGCATTACTTACCACACTCAGTAAAGCTAAATTGAAAGCTGAAAGTCAAAAAGAACCAGGTTTTCACAGCAACACTACAGAGGACAACAAAAAAATGAATCAAGATGGTGCGTAAGAGAGGGCGATCAGCAAAAGCAAAGTGCACCAGCACACAAACACTGCCCGCAGCACACAGATGCCAACACTCCCATTTGAAGCAGCTGTCAAAATTCAACAAATAGGAACTTTGACAGCCAGAACCCTCACAACTTGGTTGCTTCTGTGGACACATGGGTGATCACATCCACCTTTTAAAAGCCACCATAACAGCTGAATTAAACCCTTGTAAACCCTGACCATAAGCTGCCCAGCATGTTTGAGTTTCCTTAGCCCACCCCATTAAACACCCCTCCCACTCCCCCAGAATTTAGTGGCAACACCCCACCTGTTGGAATTGTATGAAACTTTTACTTAAACCAGGAAGCTGTTATACAACCCACTCATGTACCTCATTGAGTTTTCACTAGACCCAATGCATGGAGGCAGCCCTCCCACTGCACCCCTGCCCCAGCAGCAATTCCCACTGCAATGAGCCCTTCCCCACACCTTGTGTCCCATGAAGTTCATCCAACCAGAGCAACACACTGAAGCTCAAGCCACTCCATGGCAGTGTCAGGCAATGAAACAGCTCATACACAGCACTATCAAAGACAATTTAAACATGTTCACAAGTTTCAACAAACCCCACCCTGCTGTACTGACAGCCCTTATTTGGCTTGTGGTTTTCTAAGATCTTTAGAACATACTATCCTTCCTGCAAATAAAGAGTTAAAAAAGTTAAACTCTAGGAAGAAGAAATAACATTGTACTAGTGCTTAAATTAAGACTTTAATCCAGATTTGTTTCATCTACAAGGTCCTCATTATGCATGCAAAGAGGCTTAAACTGCCATGGAAGAAAGCCAAAGCAAGCATGTCACTGAAATACACCAGTTATACCAGCTTGAACTGAGACAGACTACAAACTGTAATGTGCAACAAAAAACTTTATTAGCATTTCAACAGTTCAGCATTTAATTTAAGCTTGTATTAACCTTGCATTTAACTTAAAGACATTAAAGAACTACAGTGCAAACACAAGTGCTATTGGCAATCTTCTTATCAAGATGCTGAACAGCTTAACAGCCACCCCTGAGGCGCAGCACAAGGTGGAGGGTGGACTCCTTCTGGATGTTGTAGTCTGAAAGGGTGCGCCCATCTTCCAGCTGCTTGCCAGCAAAGATCAGCCTCTGCTGATCGGGGGGAATGCCTTCCTTGTCCTGGATCTTGGCCTTCACATTCTCAATGGTGTCACTGGGCTCGACTTCCAAAGTGATGGTCTTGCCAGTCAGGGTCTTCACAAAGATCTGCATACCACCTCTGAGGCGCAGCACAAGGTGCAGGGTGGATTCCTTCTGGATGTTGTAGTCAGACAGGGTGCGCCCATCTTCCAGCTGCTTGCCAGCAAAGATCAGCCTCTGCTGATCGGGGGGAATGCCTTCCTTGTCCTGAATCTTGGCCTTCACATTCTCAATGGTGTCACTGGGCTCCACCTCAAGGGTGATGGTCTTGCCAGTCAGGGTTTTCACAAAGATCTGCATGCCACCCCTCAGGCGCAGCACAAGATGCAGGGTGGACTCCTTCTGGATGTTGTAGTCAGACAGGGTGCGCCCATCTTCCAGCTGCTTGCCAGCAAAGATCAGCCTCTGCTGATCAGGGGGAATGCCTTCCTTGTCCTGGATCTTGGCCTTCACATTCTCAATGGTGTCGCTGGGCTCCACCTCAAGAGTGATGGTCTTGCCAGTCAGGGTCTTCACAAAGATCTGCATGCCACCCCTCAGGCGCAGCACAAGATGCAGGGTGGATTCCTTCTGGATGTTGTAGTCAGACAGGGTGCGCCCATCTTCCAGCTGCTTGCCAGCAAAGATCAGCCTCTGCTGATCAGGGGGAATGCCTTCCTTGTCCTGGATCTTGGCCTTCACATTCTCAATGGTGTCGCTGGGCTCCACCTCAAGAGTGATGGTCTTGCCAGTCAGGGTCTTCACAAAGATCTGCATGCCACCCCTCAGGCGCAGCACAAGATGCAGGGTGGATTCCTTCTGGATGTTGTAGTCAGACAGGGTGCGCCCATCTTCCAGCTGCTTGCCAGCAAAGATCAGCCTCTGCTGATCAGGGGGAATGCCTTCCTTGTCCTGGATCTTGGCCTTCACATTCTCAATGGTGTCGCTGGGCTCCACCTCAAGAGTGATGGTCTTGCCAGTCAGGGTCTTCACAAAGATCTGCATATTGAACTGCAAAACGCCAAGAAGTTTCAGCTTTAGCCACTTAGTGATGCACAATCCTCAGCAATTTCTAAATAAAAGGATTACTGCTGCTGTTTCACGTTATACAGATACTAGTTAGGATTTCTATCTTCTACTGTAATTTTCTACCGTCATCTTTTAACCTTTGTTCGATTAACTACGCCTCTCTCCGAGGCCTGGTATGCTACGTTCTTTTAACAGATTTTCTACATCGCCCCTCAACAGTCGGCTCCCGCATTCCCCCCTCGCCCCCACTGCAGCAATTCGGACACACTACGCAGCCTCCCTGCAGCCGCCTCAGGGACTCCCGGTGCCGAACTGCGACAGCAACGCTGCGCTGCTCCCCCCGAGGCAGTGACTCAGCAACCCGCTTCCGGGAAAGACAAGCACAGGCGCCATTTTCCCCCTACATCGCCCCTCAACAGTCGGCTCCCGCATTCCCCCCTCGCCCCCACTGCAGCAATTCGGACACACTACGCAGCCTCCCTGCAGCCGCCTCAGGGACTCCCGGTGCCGAACTGCGACAGCAACGCTGCGCTGCTCCCCCCGAGGCAGTGACTCAGCAACCCGCTTCCGGGAAAGACAAGCACAGGCGCCATTTTCCCCATAACTATACCTCCTTCTCCTAAGGAAGCGGTTTTATCCCCCACACGTAACGACGCGGTTCAGAGTATGAAAAGGCTCCGCGCAATTCCCTCCCCTCCCATCTCAAACGAAAAAAAACCCACTGCCCGACAAGCACCTACCCCCCCGCCTTCCAGCCCAGAAAAATCGCGCCGTTTCTCCCTCTCCAACCCCCCAGACGCTCCCAGCGCTCAACTCACGTCTTCGGCCCTGAACGCTGCACAGCAATAACGCCCTCTGCGTGACTGCAACTGCGGTCTGCTGCGTGGCGCACACCCACCCCTATTTATGCGATTCCTACGACACTGTCCCCGACCCCGTAAAGTTCCTCCGTAAAGTAACGTGTCCATCCGCCTTCCCAAAGTAGTCCCCAATAAAAGGCCACTTTTGTGACAAAATACTCGCCTTTCTCCGCCTCCTGTCCCTCGCCCAGGGGTCAAAGGGGTCCTGGAGCCTTAGTGTGGGACCCCAGACCCTTAAAAATCTGGAAATTTCGGAGGGGGCGGATAGATCTGGCGGCGCGGTGAAACGGCTACTGGAAAGAACGGAAAGTTCAGCATTGATTGGTGCAGCAGTAAGGGCAGTGGCTGCTGATTGGTTGAACCAGGGGAAAAGCAGAGCAGGGCCGGGGGGGTAGTTGTGAGGAAAGCTCTGGAAGATTCGGGTGCTGCTCGGCGCTGATTGGTGCGCGGTGAGGTCAGCGCTGTTGCTGGGGGGGGCCGCCTGCTGAGGGCAGATTTCAGCGGGGTGGGCGCTGCTGCGCTGGAAGGGGGGGGCAGCACCCATACCCCTGTGGCCATGGGGCTGCACCCATATCCCTGTGGCCATGGGGCTGGGGGGATTCTTTTTAAGCCCCTATCTCAGCCCTGGGCAATGCTTAGGCGAGACTCTAGCAGGGGTCCGGGGAAAAGTGCCCCCCAAAAGATGGGTTACCCTTGGTGCCAGCACATCTGACCAACCCCTTTCCCTGGGTCAACATTATGGCAGAGCTTGGAATAGGCTGTAGGGCTTAGTGCTGTGTGGCTGTGAGGAAAAGCTGGGAAAAGCAGAAGTGAGTTGGCAAAGCTGGAAAAAGATGTTATTTAGAAATACAGCAAGAGTCGGTGACTCGCGGTGCGTCACGTTTGCATGCCCTTGTCATGCGGCCCATTTCCTGAGCAGCCCTTCAAACCAGTTTCAGCAGCAGCTGACAACTTAATTCTTCAATGTGAGGCAGCAAAACAACCCCTCTGATGAAATGCTGACATCTGAAATTCAAATGGCTGTTTACTTGCTTTCAGAACAGGAAGCTTTGTTTCAGGTTATGGAGCAACTTCCTTCTGTGACCTCCTGTTTCAATGTGCCTTGTGTTAATTAACCTTCATTATACCTTTCAAACTGGCGCTTAACTCATTTTATATCATATCTTGAGTACACAAGATCCAGAGAGGTTTTTACGTGGTAGTGTTTTAGCTGCTGCTACCTCCTCCAGTGAAGCCAGGTGAACTTAAATCCTCCCCTCACAAACCACGAGCACACACGGGAATGGCAGGATTCAGAACAGACCTACTCTATTTCTCCCTTAAGAAAGACAGACAAAAACCCGAAACCACAAAAAAACCCACTCCAACAGCAACAAAACCCTTTTGTTTTCCTTTTTCCTAACAGGGCTTGGGTCTGCTAGCACCTCCCAGTTTACAGTAAAAAGGAAATAAATCATCCCAGCAGTAATTATTCACAATGTAGAAACAGGAAGAGAGGAAAATGGTAACTGGAAAGTTCGGAAAGATCCATGGCAATAACCAACCCTGGAAATATTATTCAGCGACACAAATTTAGGACAAAAGGCAGATGTAGGCAACGTCCCATTTGTTTTCTTTATGCTGCCAGTGTTGCTCGGTGTTTCCATCAGGTTTTTTTTGTTTGTGTGGTGCCAGGGTGAGTAAATGTTTGCTCCAAGGCTGGTCTGTGTGTGCTGTACATCCCAGGCACTGCTCCAGGAACAGGGTCACCCAGCCAAACAGTACCACGGAGTCCTGAGAGGAAGGCCACGAGTAACTAACATTCACAAATGGAAAAAGCCACCTCTGTTAAACTGGAGGTTAATCACAGGCTAATCTAAAGACTGGCCCGTGTTTGAGCACATGTTTGAGACTTGTTTTAATGTCCCTCTAGATGGAGGAGAAATTTTTGACTTTTTTTTTCCTTTCTGTGTAAAGCAGAAAACACAGAGGCCCTCTCTTGTTTTTTTCTAAGGATGGCTAAATCCTATGACTAATCTGCTTTCACTGTTGTTCATTTTCTGTTTAAGTATTCAAATCAACAGATCAGAATAAAGTCCCAACAAGATGGATCTACCATGGGGTAGTTCTTTAAATACCTTGCTAATAATGGCTCCTGAAAAATTCATTCTTCAGGGAAATGACATTACCCAAGCAAGCGCAGGCAGCAACATGCTGACATCGAATGCAGCCTCAGTTCCAAAAACAATTATGGATTAAATTCATCAACTCCATGCAAAAAGCCTCATTATTTTCCTCGGTTATCCCTCTGTCAAAAGAGATAAACAAAAGAGTTAGGCTTTGTGCACACAACTCCAGAATTAAACTAATCTCCATAGCTGCAGGCAAGGTACTCTCTGCAGGCCACCATTAGCATTTTGCAGCCTCCCCTGATCGGATTCATTTAATTCTCCCAGCTATTAATCTGCGATAGCCATCGACATGCCTGTGCAGAGCCCACCTCTTTTGTTTCAGGGGTAGGGAGTGAGCTGAATACAGAGAGCTCCTTAAA